TTAATAATTATTAAAAATTAATAACTAAAAATTTAGTCAGCCAATAAATCGATTTCAGTTGAACCGCACCCACCCCCGCCTATTTTGGTATTCTCATTTTCTAATACTAAACATCCTACCTGCTCTCTCTCTTTCTTTCTTTCTTCCTCACATTTGGATTTAAAAGGTTATTTTTTTTATGGGTTTTTCTATAGATTTATAGGAATTTTTTATGGCACATGTCAAACCTGTAATGAGTGTGCATTTTTTACATTATCATTTATATATTATGAAAGGCTTAACTTAAAAATACGTGTCAAAAATCAAACAACTTATATTTTAAATTAGAAGAAGTGCTTGATATGGTAACATTTTAAATTAATGCCTTTATGGTATGTTTAGGTTGAAAAGAATAGAGAGGGGAGGAAAACATGTATTTATTTGGTTATCCAAAAAAATTAAAAAAGAAGGAAGAAAAAATTTTATTTTATTTTATTTTTTAATTTATTTAATTATCCAAACAAACAAAAGAAAAATAAAAGAGCATAATTTCTTTACCCTCTTTTTTATTCCTTTTAATCCAGACATATAATAAATTATAGGAATTCTTCATACATCTAAAATAAATTTTTAGGAAACAAAATTAAATTTAACTTTTTTTTTAAGGATAAATTTAACTTGTTGAACTTTGTACTCATTATAAACATTGTCTTCAATTGGTGTTAATACTCTAGCTGGTAAGTTAGCTTCTTAAATAATGTCATCCAATAGGTTATAAAGACAACCTACTGACCTATTAGGGTCTATTTGGTCAAAAAATAAAAATAAAAATGAAGGTCGATTTGGTTACCTTTTCAGAATTGTCTTTTTTGGTAAAGAAAATGATACAGGCACTTTACTCCATTTGACATTGATTCTCTATTACTTAATCTATTAACTTCTTGTTAATTTTTTACCCAAAACATTAGTTCATTTTTTATGAACCATCAATTTTAATAGATCAAATATAAAAAATCATCCATGTATAATAAAAAATGTAACGAAATAGGTTGTATATACCATTTTCTTTTTGGTAAACACCTCTATGGAATTGTTACACGAGGAAATGGTTATTGGGCAAAAGTGGTGACTACCTGCAAAAATGAAATTTTAGGTAATTGGTATGGTCAATAATTTTATATACAATTACTAACGATTTGTTGGTCAGAGTAAAAAGAGTTCAGTTTTCTTTAAATAAAATTTTGAGTTCGAATCTTGCGAATAAAAAAATAAACGTCGAGAGAACTTCTCCTTTAATGAGGTTCGACGCAACTAGATTTTAAATTAGTTGAAATTCAATATGATTACCAAATACCGAAAGGTTAATATAACAAAAAACTTTTTTTATACAATTAAATAGGCTTTCAAGCCAATGGTTCATCCTTAAACAATAGTGCATCCTTAAACAATAGTGCTTGGGTTTAATTAATTAGAAATTCAATTCTTACTAACTACTTGAAAAATTCTTCATTTCCTTATAATTCTCTATGTTTAAAAAAATAATTATATATAATTATTTTTAAATTAGATTTTATTAAGGAAAAATAAAAAAAACTATTTTTTTAGTATAATTTATTATTTATAGAAAATTTTAATTAT